AGGATACCTTGTCATATTGTAGGGACCTTTTGAAGTGAGGAAAAAGAGGGTCTCCACGAGGCAGGAGGTCCATTTTCTCCATTTTCAAGCTAGCTCAGCAGAACCCTTCTGAAGATAGTCGTAAAGGCGGGGGGGGGGGGGGGGCTGCTGCTGCCGCCATAACCCCTCCTTGCCCACCATTGGTTGGCTAAGGAGAATGCTAAAGTCTCTCTTCCTACAGCATACACCAAAGACTCAGCTAATAAAGACAGGTCAAAGAAATCCCGGCCCTTCTTGCAGGTGTTCCTCATCCGGAAGGAGAGAGGCCTCCATCCCCACGAAGAGAAAGCCCGGCTGAGGCGTCGAAGGGGACTTGTGAGCCCTGGCAAGCCACGGCAGCCACCCATCTCGGCCGAGGAAGGGAAGCTGCCGCCAGGTTCTGGTGCTCTTTATACCTGAGATAGGAGGAGGGCTGCAGCATTCAGCCAAAGGGAGCCTTAGTGAGGGCAGCGGAGGTCCCCGTGACTTTCGGCGGCAAAGCTAATCTGCCAAGCGTCTCCTTCACTCTCCGAGCTTCATGCTCAGGTTTGTTGATGTCTTACTTATCCAGAGCATCTTTAGAATGGCTAAACCTTATGAAGACTATCAGATTGTCTTTGGGTGGTTCTGACATATTTACATCCTGCTTTTCCAACATGGTACACTTGGTTCCATTTTATGTTCCTATGAGGTAGGCCATGCATACAGACAGTGACTAAACCGAGTAGTCCAGTTCCAACAGATTTTTGCAAATCATGTGACAAATGAAGTCCAACTCACATTTACCTGTGTTTTCTTTTTGTGACAAGTTCTGAGACTTTGGCATATGTCCTCTGGCCCTGTGACCCATGGGGAGAAATGATGGGAACTGAAGAACAGCATTTGTCCACTTGTGCTACAGTTGTGAAAGACCTTGAGAGCCCCTTGCATGAACATACGGTGACAACTAAGCATTGAAATCAGGGAGCAAGAAGGAACCGGGTAACCTTGGATGGAGGCTCTTAACCATCCTTCACCCTGGGCGCTTCACGGTCGGCCTTAGGTGGCCCAGTGCTCAAGCACAGCGATCCTCCCGTGGTATGGGAGGCAAGCAAGAGACCAGCCCAGATGAGCTGAGCAGGACATGGGAGGGCAGCCTTCTGCTGCGGGAGCAGCAGCACCACCTCTGTGGTCTCTGTCTAGGATGGTCCTGGCCTCCATCCACCACGCAGACAGCCTGTCTCAGCAGCACAGCCCACAGCAGAGGACGCCTCCAGGGCAAGGCGCACCCACTGGCCTGAGAAGGAGAGGCACGGCTGCCATTCCTGGACTCTTTCTGCTGCACCATCTCCAGGAGGAGAGGAGTTCCTCCCGTGCCCTGGCAGGCCAGTCTCCCTTGCAGCCCACAGCTGGCAAGGCTTCCCCAAGCAAAGGCTGACCAAGAGACCCTTCTGTTTTGCTGGCCTCTTGCAAATGGCGCCTGTAACCATCAGGGAGCAAGAGGGAGGATTCGGGGGACGGGGCCTGGGCTCTGCTTCTCTGCTGCCCAGCACCAAAGCAAGTGGGGAAGTGAAGGCAAAGGTAGGGCTCGGGGCAGGGAGTGGGGAGGGGACCACGAGCATGCAAAACCGGTTACAGAATAGAGCCTGCCAGTCCTGAAGCCAGCAGGCCCACAAACGGTTATTCATTAACGGATAACCTCAACAACCACGCAAGTAGCTCCATCGTAAGGTGGGACCAGCTGTCTCTGCATAGCTCGTGGGACAAACAGAAGAGTCTGTGGAAACCAAGGTGCCCCAACTGCTGCAAATCTTGTGACTTTCTGACAAGAGGTGGCACAGTTGGGCTGGACTGCAGCAATTTCTCTGAGGGATTTCCAGAGCTTCAACTGTCCCCAACTCATAAAATGAAGATTTTTTGAATTATGGGACTTTTTGCAGGAAAAGATTTGAAGGTCGGTTGCTGAACGTGGTAACAGTGGTATACGGTGGAAGTAAAGCACACACAAAAATAAACTGAATGGTTAATGACTAGTTCCGGGTTGAGCAGGAATGTGTGATGCCTTTTGCGTTGTTTAACGCATTTATGGTGAAATATATGAGGAACAGAAGACTCTTGAGAGTCCCCTGGACTGCTAGGAGGTCAAACCAGTCAATCTTAAAGGAAATCAACCCTGATT